CAAACGATGGTGACTAGAAAAAGCTGAAATGCTCTGTGAGTGTTCCCATCCTTTGAAGGGATGACCAAGTTCAACCTTGAAGGTGTCCCTTATAACTTCACTCACTTGGCGTCATTGTCCTTTTGGGGACTCATTTCATAGACGAGGTATTTGAAGAATGATAGGAACTTGGGTTCAGGTCCTTGGGGGGGGGGGAGAGAGAGAGAGAGAATATTTCATTCATGCTAAACTCATGACCTGTTGAAGGGTAATAATACAAGTCATACTTAGAAATACAGAATACAAACTACTACGAGATATACGATATGTGTACCCCTCTATGGTGTAACTGGGCTAATTGTAAGAGTCCATACATATGGTTCTCAACAATCCATCCCCCCTCAAATAAGGCTTGATCTCAAGCCTGAAATTCTGGAAACCGAGTCTAGATGTCATTGGCATCCTCCCATGTAGCACCTTCTTGTGGAAACCCATACCATTGAACTAACCAATGAACTACCAACACACTTTTCTGTTTTACCAAGCCACGCTCCAAAACCTTTTTCGGCAGCCACTGAACATCTTCAGGAAGAATGTGAGGCAAGGTGGGAGAGGTAATCACATGAGTTCCCAATTTCTTCTTTAATAACGGCACATGGAAAATGGGATGATGCGCACTGAAGGAGGTAAGTCAAGCTTGTAGGCCACCTCTCTAATTCGTTGTACGACTAGAAAAGAACAATAATATCTAGAGGGCAATCTATGACAGTAGCGATTAGCAACAATGGTTTGACGATAAGACTGAAGACGCAAATAAACCCAATGACCAATAGTGAATTCCTGCTCACCATAAACTATATCCAGTCTTGTGCTTGTAAGGTACCTCAGGCTTTCCAACAAGGCTTTTGTACACGGTTGAGTTTACAAACTCACTTTCTCCTTCGTTGGACAACTTCAATCCAGTTACAACTGGAGTGTTGACAGCATTACACTTGGCCATTGTGAACATCTCAAAAATGTCTCTCATGTACCTCTATTGAGATTTAGACAAGAAAGTATGACATGAATCCATTGTCAGTCATCTCGAATTCACTGAACATAGATTGCTTTAACTCACAGAACATAGCTTCATTGTTTCCTATAAAGAACAAGACATCTACATACAGACAAAGAATTAAGAACTCCCCTTTTCACCAGTCTTCATGTAAACTGAATAAGCATATGGATATTTTTCAAAATCCATTGTAGTGAAGGTAGTTGTCAATCCTTGAGTTCCAAGCTCACGATGTTTGCTTGAGGCCATATAAAGCCTTCTTCAAACAATGCACCTTATCTTCTCTCCTTGTACTTGTAAGCCTGCATGTTGTTCCACGTACACTTTTTCCTCAAGAACTCCATTAAGGAAGGCTAACTTGACATCTAGTTGATAAAATTTTCATTTATGTTGAGCAGCATGAGAGACTAACAATCTTACCGTTTCAAGTCTTGCAACTGGAGCATAGACTTCGTCATAGTCCACTTCATACTTTTGTTTGTAGCCCTTGGCTACAAGCCTCGATTTTTATTGATCCACACTTTCATTTGCAGTGCATTTGATCTTGTACACTAATAGCCTTCTGATTTGGTGGGAGCTTTGTCAACTCCCAAGTTCATTCTTCTCGATGGCATGGATTTCTTCCTACATGGTTGTTCTCCAACGATCTTTTTCCACAACTTCATTGAATGAGAGAGACTCATGGTCTGCATATAAGCAGAAAAGGTTGGCTTATTATTCTTCTTCTTGTCCATATATCTCGGTGAAACTTCTTAGCCTCACTAGAGTTGAGGAGCTACTTTCTTCACTAAATGTAGGACCACTCCCTGCAGTTCTATGCATTGGAGTTGTTGTGATTGATTGAGCAGGTTGTTGCTCAACAGGTAGTACAACTTCTGACTGTTCAAAATTAGTGGAAACAATCTTCTCCTTACTAACCTCTTGGTTGTTCCACTTCCATGTCTCTTCCTTACTGAAGATGACATCTCTACTAACCACTAGTTTGCTAGTTAGTGGGTTATAAAGCTTGTATGCCTTGGACTCTTCACTATAGCCCATAAACACACAGTTCTCACCTTGATCATCAAGCTTTCTCATCTTGGCTTCTGGAAACTGAGCATATGCAACACACCCAAAACTCTTAGGTATCCAATTCGACTTTTATCCACTCTAAGCTTCTTGTGGTGTCATCCTTTTTACACTCTTTGTTGGACATTGATTCAACAAATAAATCAAACAAGCTACAGTTTTTGCCCACAATTCTTTTAGAAAGCTCTTCTCCTTAAGCATGGATCTTGTCAAGTCAAGGATGGTTCGATTTTTTCTCTCGACTATCTCATTTTGTTATGGGGTGTAGGCAGCAGTTAGTTGATTCCTAATTCCTTACTCCTTGCAATATGCTTGGAAAATATTGGAGATGTACTCTCCACCTCTGCCTGATCTCCCAACTACAAGCTTATGGTTGCCCTCAGTCTCTGTGGATGCCTTGAACTCATTGAAAATTCTTAGGGTAGTCGACTTCTCCTTTGTTAAACTAAACATAAGTCTTCCTACTAAAATCATCAATGAAAGTAATAAAATACCTATTACCTCCATAGGACATTAGATCTAATGGACCACATATATCTATGTGCACCAATTGCAGTGGTGCCTTTGTTCTACATGCATCACCAACAGGGAATGAGAGCATGCAACCTTCACATACATGGTTTATGGGTTTTATCTAAGCTAGACCACGAACCATTCCTCCAATGGACAGTAGCTTTCAACCATTGAAATGAAGCTGGCCAAAGCGAAGATGCCATTTCCATGACTCATCTTCAATCACCCCTATGTGGCAGCTTCCAATCCTTTTGTTCAAATTCAATGGGAACATTCGTTTCTTTGAAATTTGAACACGTGCAATAAGCTTTTCTCCTTACATTTCTGAGAGTGAGAAGTATATTTTCCATATGTATAATGTACCCTTTATGGAGCAATTGATCAATGCTCAAAATGTTGCTTTTCATATCTGGTATGCAGTAGATATCAGAGATGTATACTTCCCTACCATCTTTCTAGATGATCTTGACCTTCCCTTTGCCTTCAACTGCTAGCTTTGAGGAGTCAATGACTCCTTGATCCGTAGGCCCCATCTTTGAGTTCTGCAAAGAACTCATTTTTCCCACACATATGGTTCCTTGCACCAGAATCCAAATACCAAATATCTTGTTGGATGCTGGAAGCATGGTGTGCTAGTAAGACAATAAGTTCCTCATTGGCATTTTCACTCGATTTTGCCATGTTGACATGCTCACCATTTTTTTATGAACATTCATTGGCATAATGTCCATATTGCTGACAGTTGTGACATTGGATATGTGCATTTCCTCGAGCAAGCCTCCACTCTTGAGACAAACCTCGATTTTGTGGATAGACTCAACCTATTCTGTAGCCTCATCCTTAGCTATGGCTGGATGAACTCCCGCATCGTGAGTTATGTTATCTATGACCTCTACTTGACTTGCCAATATGCAGCTTTGACTCCAAAACTTGCTCTAACGTTGTGGGGCTTGCCTTCTTCTAAATGCGTTGCTCGTGAACTAGGAGGGATCCTAGCAATTACTCTGCACTCATAGTTTCCATGTCCTTGGATTCCTCAATAGTAGTCACAACATGCTCAAAGTTGGATGTAAAGGATCGAAGGATTTTCTCTATGACACGAACATCGTCAAGCTTCTGACCATTCCTTTTCATTTGATTCACAATTACAAGTAGTCGAGAGTAGTAGTCTAAAATGTTTTCTCCTTCTTTCATATAAGCAGCCTCAAAATTTGCTCTTAAGGATTGGAGTCTGATTCTTTTTACCCGATCTACTTCTTTGTTAATTGTGCTTAGATTGTACCAAACTTGGTTGTTGGTTGTTGGTTGTTGCTTCTGCAACCTTCTCGAACATTGCATCTTCTAGACCTTGGTACAGAAGATACCTTGTCCTTCTTTCGTAAGTCCTTGAGAGTGTCCCTTTGCTCGGCAGTGTAGGCGACTTCTTGCTTAGCCGTGGGTTCAACATACCCAATACTGACAAGTTACCATAGCTCATGTGATCCAAACAATGCTTTGAATTGGATGTACCATCTTTCATAATTTTCTTTCTTCAATGTGGGAACCTGGAGCTGCACCAAGTTGGACGCCATAGCTGCTGCACTTGCCAGAATAGAATTTTGGCTCTAATACCAAATGTTGTTATTCAAAGTTTGCTAACTTAATACCAATTACGTGGGTAATAAGTTCACAAACTTTATCACACCTCTCACTTCTACTATGTTTGAAACTGGACCGATTGAAAGAAAAAGAAGCAGCAAGCTTTGATAAAAATAATACTCTCATATTAAAAGAGTTTACAAACTGATTCCTAGCTTCCAGATGGAATTGGATATTTCAAAAGTACATACACATCTCTCTTGTAGAGATTTTACGAGACTTTCCAAACATGAATGTTATCCATGCAAAAGTCATAAATGGCTGCTGATGTTGAAAAACAAACAAGGCAGCTTGTAGAAAGATTAAAAGCATGCTATCTGTAAAAGATAGTTGTGCAGACAACAATTTCAACTATTGCCATTTATTCCTATTCACATTCATTTTGCTTTTGACTTCCAACAAGAAACAACCATTGGTTTTCAGACTTGGGAAACGCCTGTTCCGGTACGGAGAAGAAGAAGCTGCGCGAGATAATGGCGGAGGAGCTACTTCCCAAGAAAATGGAGGAGCAGCAGCTGATGGACGCAGGAAATCCTGTACTCCCATGGGACATGATCGTGGAGATTCTTTCATGGCTGCCTCCCAAATCACTGTGCCGCTTCAGGTCTGTATCCAAGCCCTGGAAATCCCTAATATATAACCCTAATTTTGTGAATTTCACTTTAAGAAATCATCTGAGAACAAAGATGCTTTTTACCGAAGACGAAGAATCATGTTTACTATGCCAGATGGTAATTCCATTTACTCTCTGAACCTTGATAACTTACTTCTGAGTTACAATGAAAATTATAGTGACATTGGTGATTTGGTAGCTCCTGAGGTAGATTTGGTTCGTACTGAGTTTCCATGTGGTAGTATTGAGGATTTTTTTGTACTGCGAGGGATTGTTGTTGTGCAAGTTGGGTAAGCCGGAGTGGTTGTATCTGGTTAACCCGGCTACTGGGGAAGCCAAGAAGCTGCCCGAGGGACCAAAATATTTCGATCACAAGGGGTTTGGATTTGATCACTCGGCTGAGGATTATAAGGTGGTTTGTGCAGTGTATTCTAAGCGGTTGGACACTATTGATTTTAGTGTCTATTCACTGAAAATTGATTCTTGGAGAGTGGTTAAAAGTCCTATTCAGTACAATGACGCCGATACGACTCATGGGGTTCTGCTGAATGGAAGTGTTCATTGGGTGATGACAAAAGTTGGCAAGGAGTCATCACCCGTGATTGTGTCTTTCCATTTAGCTGAGGAGGAGTTTCGAGAGATTCCACTGCCACTTAAAGGTTCCGGTTTTATCCCAAATGAATACTATGTGTTGGGTGTCTTCAGGGATTGCTTATGTTTAACACGTGACGATTTTAAAATTCTTGATGAGTTTTGGGTCATGAAGAACTATGGAATTAGGCAGTCTTGGACTAACATAAAGACCTCCTTCTGATACTCTGAACTATATCATACGAGTTTTTGGAAGGACAGTCATGATCTGTTGCTGCTCGACTATCAGTTTGGTATGTATGATTTTAACGAGAAAAGCTTTTGCAATCTGTCAGTTCGGGAATTTCCTGAATTTGAAAACGCTGGGATCTACATGGAGAGCCTTGTTTCACCCAATTACTATGGCAGTCTTGATCCAGAACATGAAACATGAAAGAATTTGTTAGGAGGTAAAGCAGAATCCTCTCAATCTCTTTCCAAGCTTTGTTGTTTTAAATTTTTTTCTGGTTTTATTAAGCACTACTGAAAAATGGCTATAACAGCTCTCTTGGTCGATGGTTCTCGTTTGTGATATGCTGAGATTAGGCTTCGGCCAAAAGGTGTGGTAACGAGTGGAATGATTTGGAACTGTACGTGTTTGTTTACTCGGCTGTTAATAGGACAGGCTGCACTTCGTATGTAAATTTTCTATCATCATCTCTAGTGTTTCATGTCATGAATGTAACAATGTCTCGTGTCTACTATTTCTTTGCTTGATGTTTTCATAATTTTGCTTTCCTTTTGCCTTTGGACAGTAGTTCTTTACTAGGTATTTAGTGGCACTTTGTTAAAAGAACACAATAAACTCATTCCACACTTTGTTAGGTTCTTGTTTAGGAAACATCGAAGGTTTTTTTTCTGAACCAGAAAGCTTTTTTTTTCCTGTCTCTGCCATTTATTGATGAAGGCGTCTTTGATTATGTGTTAGCAATTTTGACACAATCAAAAGCACTTTCAAGTACACCCTTCTTGTTGGACACAGTAGGTTGGCTCATAGATACACAAGTCATTGAAGTTATGTATTGATTCTGGCTCTGGATGTTTCTGTTTGTTCGATGCAATTTGTTCAAGAAATGGTAGCTTCTGGTCCATTTTCATCCCTTGTTTCCGTTTCCTGTAGTCCCTTATCGTAATTTTCTGATTTCTTTGTTTGGCTTTGGTTTACAAATGAAATGCATTTACAATATCCGTTAGCCTAACTTTTTATGGAAATGATTACTGGAGACTCTTGAAACTTTTTGTACAAATGTTTGCTGGAATTCTTTAACTAATTGTCCTCCTTGTATCGCAGAAGAATAGAGCTTGAAGAAATGAGCTTCATCTTTTTGTTCGTAGAAGAATAGAGCTTGAAGACGCAAAGCTTTTGTTAGGTTCCTGGCTGTCGACTTCCATTACATCTTCATGTTTTGAACAGCCTGCTAATATCTATGTGAAATCCTGGTTGTTAGATCAGTTTCATTTTTGAACAGCCTGCTAATATCTATGTGAAATCCTTAAAAGTGAATTGCAATACAAATCAAAATGCAAGTTTACAGGGTTTCTAATTGATGCAGATCTGGTTATTTTTTCCTGCTTATTTAGTCCGATTATTCAGTTTAGTAGATTGTATTGTATGACCAGATGCGATTTAACGTTATATAGCTAGCATAAGTGGTTGAAACTTGAGAGCAACGTCCTCCCCGAAGGCCGGGTTCATTCACTAAGTTAAGTTTAGTCGTGGGTTTATTACAGTTTGCGGCTGTTCAAGGGAATTACGTACATATTAGACAGAAACAGCTCCATGAACATGTCCTGAATCCAAAGAATAAAAGCTTCAACGAGTTTCGCTTCTTCATAGAAGACGACAAAGCAATCAGGGTTTAATTCTTTTTGGCCATTTCTTTCCGAAGGTGAAGGGCCCTCTCTAAATTGCCCTTCTCCAAGTGGCTGGAAATCAGGATCTCATATGTACATAAACTCGGGGCTATCGAACGACCTTTCATGAAGCCAATATACTTTTCTGCTTCCTCCGGTTTCCCTGTTTGGCAGAAGCTCTTTATCAAGGATGTAAAAACCGAAATTCCAGGAAACAGCGACCTCGACCCCATCTCATAGTAGAGCTTGACAACTTCCTGATTGTCACCTTTTCTCTCAAACCCGTTGATCAGATGAGAGTACGTAATCTCGTCCGGTACAAACCCCTTATCTAACAGGGTAGTTAACATTTCATTGGCATGCTCTGCATCTCCAGTTTCACACAACTTTCCAACCATCTCGTTGAAGGAAGAACAACTAGGGATGAACCCGCACTCCATCATCTTCTTCAAGTAACTCGTGCTTGCTTCCACTCTTCCGGCTTTGCAACATCCTTCAATAAGAAGATTGTAAGTCTCGTCATACGGCTTCAAATCCATAGTTTCCATCTCGTGCATGATGCATTGTGCTTCGTCAATTCGTCCTCCTTCACAATGAGCTCCTATAAACAACGTACAGATGAAAGAGTTTGGTCCAAAACCTCTCTTAAGCATTTCTTCATACACCTCTTGTGCGGAGTTTACATCTCCTAGTTTAACCTTAACATATACAGTCAATGAGTAAGCAATTGTATCAAGAACCATATTTCTTTGCAACATTTTCTTCAATACCACCATTCCTTGCTCAACCCTACCCTCCTCCAAAATCCCGAAAACTAAACTAGTATTCGCAACCACGGAAGGCGAGCATCTCTTCCCATGAATCCTGTCCAGCATGTCAACACATTTCCTCAACTTCCCTTCCTTGCACAAAGCATCAACCAAGATTTTAATCGTCTCTTCGTTCGGATACCTTCTGTTTTCGATCATATGCTCATAAATCTTCCAAACCAGAGCAGTCCGGTCAGATTTTTCGACGACACGAAGCAATGAGTTGTAACTTGTGAGACTCAAAGGCAACCCACGTTCCCCCAAATAACAACAAATATCAAAACCAGTCTCAAACATTCTCAGCTTAGCATAAGCCTGCACCAGCAAATCAAACACAAACGGACTCGAAGCCGCGACCTCATAACTACTAAGCAACGAATCCACAACCGAAAACTTTGAAGCATTTCCAACATTTTTCTCCAAAACCGACTCGAGCAATGCTCTTGCATCCATGAGCAGCCTGGCTCTGGCTAAAATATGAATGGTTATGGAGTAGGACCAAACCCCATGTTCGAAATCTTTGCTGTGAGCGGCCCAGTGGAAGAAACCCAGAGCACGTTTCGCATCGATGGGTTCCTTCAGTTCTAGCAGCACACTCTCGACGAGCTCTCCGTCCAATTTAACGGACTCGAACTTTGTGGACAGAGTGTCCCAATTGCAGCTGCTTCTGAACGAGTCGCGGATGGATTTGACGACGTCATTTGGCGGCCCTGAGCTTGTGTGGATCAGTTGGGTTTTCTGATTGATGGGCTTGGGAATTAAAGATTGTGCAATTCGACGCAGCAGAGAAGCCATAAAATCAAAAGATGAAGTTGTTCAGTTCTGTGAATTTCATGTACCTTCAAAAACCAGAGGTGTGCCAATACCCAGTAGGCACTGCCCGGCACTCGGCTAAAAAAAGTCCTGCTATTATGGTCTAATTCCAGTTAGTTACTACCATCGACTCATAATGTGGCTTAACTCAATTTTCACTGTTGGTGTAAATAGATTGATGCATTAAAAAAAAAAAAAATCACTTTTAACTATTTGATAATCATTACGACATTTGTCCATCAATTTATTTGATTTGAATTGGAAACTCAAGACATTACTGATTTAGAAATGATTTTACAAGATTGATTTTATATAGATACTTTTTTTGTTTTTCCTTATAAAACTATATATTTGGCTAAGTTACAAGATGTTCAGTAATAACAAATTGATATTGAACTTGTTATTCACAAAAATTAACTTAAGACTTCCCGCTTATAAGTGAGAAATATTGAGAAATTGTGGTACTTTTTCTTATTATAAATGATATTATTAATCAAAGCTACATTCAAGGGAGAGGATAGGTTTTGAAGCTTATCCACTGATTAGAGCAATCTATCATTTGCTCGAAACCATCCACTACTTCCCGTGAAGTGGGTAAATGGTGTGATTATTATGCATATGTTTACCAATTTTTTTCTAAGAAACTTTAACGAAAAACTCCTAGTATTATTCGCTTTAACGAAAAATCACATTTTTATACTAAAAGGTCAATACATATATTTGTATATACATTTCTTTTATACGAGACGATGGTAGTATTATTATTAGAACAAGCAAGCAAGGTTTCAACCGTCAATGAAAGCTCTCTAGATTAAATTTGGAGCAGCCTTAAATAGGGTTGACCCTGATGGTAGCCCAAGTAGGCGCCCGCCTAGGGCCCCCACTTCGGAGGAGCTCCCAAAATTTTTTTATAGGGAACTTTAACGAAAAGTTCATGGTACTGTTAATTTTAACGACAAACCACATTTTTACACTAAAAAGTCAATCCTGATACTATTCACTTTACTATTTATTTTGTCCTTATCGTTAAAACTCAAAGTTTTCAAATCATTTTCATTAGTTTTCCTTTTATATCCTATAATTAACATATAAATACAGGAAAAAAAATATCATAATTTATTGGTTGGTCCAGTGGAAATGTTTGACTTCCTTTTTCTTTGGGATGTTGAGTTCATCAAAACATGGAGTTCCTTTTTTAAAAAAAAAAAAAAAAAAATTACGAAGCGCGTGCATACCTCTTTTTCACTATTTAATTATTAACTATTTAATTAAGGAACCATATATGTCCGCAGCGAATCATATATGATAAACAAATCAAGGAATCCAAACATTAATTACAGCAGTGACTTTGTTTGAGAGAGGGAGAGAGAGAGTCAAAGGCAGAGCTGACAGGAAACGAAAGGACTGCAGTTGAGTTGGGATGTGAAGCTTGAGAGAAGAAAAATCCCAGTTGATGTTCGGATCTCAATAGCCTTTTATTGATCAATTAATTTTGTATTTTCTTTAACCATTCAGTTCATAAACAGTGTAGTACCATTAAATTTCATAAAAAATATAGTACTATTCAGTTTCATAAACAATATAATACTATTCATTTTCATAATCAGTGTTTGTAATGGATGCGGGTCATTTTTTTTCAATTTTTTTATTATATTTATATTGTGTCCTTTTCATTCAAATTTAAGTTCTTTTGTTCTTTTTATTAAAATTTAAGGGTTTTTCATTAAAATTTAAGTTTTTCTCATTAAATAAAGTTCTAGCATGATTTTTTGTTAAAATAAACTTAACTCAAGCCATTTTTCTTGAAAGCTCCTTATATTAATTTAAGTAATGTTTGTATATTTACCTTTTTTTATATTAATTTTTATTGGAATTTGATGTGGAAATATAATTTTTTTATTCATCGAATTCTTTTGTTACATATCAATACACAAAAAACTGGGAATCAAAGAAGATTAGAACCCCACTTCGAAAGCTTGTTTAGAGCTCCCAAATTCTCAGGGCTTCGGTCTCAGGGCTTCGGCCTTAAACTACGTGACCCAACTGTAATGTCCTCTGCCACCCACCAACCTCATGGCAGAATAATCAAACACTTCGAAAACCAGAATTTATGAATTTTCGCTGAATTGGGTTTTATTATCAATCCTTTAGGAAATGTGTTGATGAACCAACAAAAACATAGGTCAGATGGAATTGCGAATGATGCTTTCTATCACTTTCCTGTCTGTTCTTTAATTTCTAGAATTATATGATTTGATTGTTATATGGTTTGCTTTTCTAATAGAAGATCTTCCCATACATGCATGAATAGAAAAGGGAAAACTTCGAAGAGTAAAATAATGGGATCGATCGATTATTAATTAATTAATTAATTAATTAATTAATTGTAGTATAAAGAAAGAACAGTGTTACATTAGATTTAGACATTTATCCAAAATGAAACATTTATATTATTGTACATAAAAAAGAGGACGTGTAAACAATATTAGACTTACCAAATCATACTTTATCAGTAAATCTACAAAAAGCAACCTAATTAAAGAACTGCAGCAGGTTGAACCATATCATTCCAAAGGTCGTCCAAGTCTATCATGATGTCATGATCACCATCAGCTTCATAAAATAATTGTGAGTAGTCAAAATTGGGAAGTGGAAGTTGATCCTTATCATTCATGACAGGATAATTCTGATTTATGTTGGCCGGACTAGCAAGTGAAGAAGCCATGGTGGAATCGGCAACACAGTAGTTTGGCTGGTCTTGAGTAACAAAGTGGTGTGGGTGATTAGCGAACCCAGTCGTACCAGTCTGCGGCGGATCATAGTGAGAGAGAACAGTACCACTACTTGGTTGTGCACTGGAGTAGTGGTACTGTGGCAAGTCGGTCACATTATTCACAAAGCCATTGTGCTGAAGATAGTCTTCTTGGCTAGCCATACTCAGTGAAGAAGCCATGGTGGGATCAGTAACAAAGTAGTTTGGCTGGTCTTGTGTAACAAAGTTGTATGGCTGATTAGCAAACCCAGTCGTAGTAGTCTGCGGCAGATCATAGTGCGAGAAAACAGTACCACTACTTGGGTCTTGTGTACAGGAGTAGTCGTACTGTGGCAAATCGGTCACATTATTCACAAAACCATGGTGCTGAAGATAGTCTTCTTGGTTAGCCATGCCTAGTGAAGAGGTCAAAGTTGGACATGCTGCTTCTGGCCTCGCCATCAGTTCTTGTGAGTCATAGTAGTATTGTGGAAAGTCGGTAACATTACAATGCTCTTGCTGCTGCTGATTATAGTAATGATCAACATTATTCACAAAACTATTGTGCTGAAGATTAGTCTGTTGCTCTTGCTGCGGCTTTTGCTGCTGTGTGTAATGATCGGTATTAACGTCCTCAGCAACCTCAGAAGACACAGGAGTAACATAAGATTCATCAATATTCTCAAATTGCCTTCGAATCTTGTTTCTTTGGGATTCTACTACTCGGGTCTCCTCACGATCATCCGCCTTTCTCTTTCTATCATAATTCTTTCTAATCCGGCAGACTACATATTCATCACCATTACTAGTTCTTGAATTATTTGATTTAATGTACATGGCCAGTTTAGGGTCCAGGCTAAACTCGTGCATAATCCAACACCCGTTTTCTTGAGGATATTTAGTATTCGCATATGTAAACCTTTTCCACCAACCTATCGTCTCTTTAGTCTTCGGATCCTTGACTTTAGTCCCTGAATTCTCGCCATGCCATGTCCCAGACCCTATCGTGCGAGCCATGCGCGAACCTGTACCCTTGCTGCTCGTTGGCTTCAGTATGGTAAAGAAGTAAAGGTCTTCACCTTTTCCCAAATTTTGTCCGCCATTGTTATTCCATATATCTCTCGCCTCCATGCTACCATAAAGATCGAGATCTGGAATAACATTCTCATCCTTAAAGGGTGAGCCGCGAACCTTGTTGCGCAGATAATATCCCACTAACTCCTCGTCTCTTGGGTGAAACTTGTAACCTACTGGAAAGTCATTAGCAGATGCCATATGTATATTTCTTGCTTCCGCTTTCTTGAGAAGATGAGATTTAAGAATGTGGAGAGAAAAGGATTAGGGCGGGAGGGCTGCGGGGAGAGAGGTTTTTTCTTGGTTAGGGTTTTAGATACTCCGAGTCGATTTGTTTCTCTGTAGTGGTTTTGATATTGCATTTAGTCCTTCCACTCCAAAATCCTATATATAGATTTAGATCAACCGCCCTAACCTTTCATTTAGGGATCATTGCCCTAAAATCACGCTCAAAACACGCTACAAATCTTCACTCGCGGTGGAAACGTAGGAGTTTTATTTGGTCAAGAATTCCTACTTAATATATATATATATATATATATATATATATATAAAGTGAGCATTATATATATATATATATATTATATATAAAGTGAGAAAGATAAAAATGTGAAACATTCGAAATACCAAAAATTGTCTTTTAAGAATTCTAAAAATTACAATTGAACCAATTGAACCATAAGAATTTAAAGTAATTCACCACATTTTAATTTTGAATGAATTTTAAATTTAAAACTTTAATTAAAAAAAAAAATCCCATGTTAATTTTTTTCTGAATAATTTTTTAATAAAAATATAAAATAATTACTTTAAAAAAGTTAAAAGACATAATCTAATATAAAAATGTGAATTGCCACTCGCATATGAGGCTAGTTTGTTAGTAAAAGATGCAACAATTCGTATTTGATTGATTAATAAATTCCTATTTTTTGACAAAAAAAGATTAACAGTTCGGTAATTCACTAGATAAATCCCATGCTATTTTCTTTGGAGTGATTTCATTTATACGTTTTTTAATTAGTTACTAATTTCCTTCGACAGTCTTGGTCTTTATTCAACATTCTCATAAACGACGTCATAAAATTGTGCACTATAAGAATGTACTGCCTAATCCGAAATCGTTAGTTTGAAGTCTAAGACCATCTCCAAAGAAGATGTCAAATTTTGAACCTTAAATTTAAATTTGACAGCTTATGTGGCATTTTGATATATTTTCATGTTTTGCTCTCCACTTGATATATCAAATTAAACTATTATTTAATTACATTATTATTTTTTT